CTTCTTAACCAGTTTGAGGCTCGAGCCCATCAAGAGAAAGCGAATACACAAAACATGTTTTCTACCTACATACTTTCATACAGTCCTTAATCGTACTCAATTTGAGGTTGCTGCTTGAGCTCCCAGCATCTGGCGGAGTTCTCCCCTCTTACCGCTTCAATACTTACAATCTCATGCGATACTATGGGTCGTTTGGCAATGTGCTGATCATTTTGGAGGGAATTCTTGTCGGCTTCATAGTGAGCTTTAATATGATAGTTTTTTAAATCGATGATTATCATTCTATTATTATAATACCTGAATTCAGAGCACCTCGGTCAGCTATTAAGCATGATATGCCGCATTAGTTCGGGTTGCAGTAGGTCTAGGATGGCGGGGGCCAGATGAAGCTCGGACTTGCGGATCGCTGGCAGCAAGTTCTGGGGAACTTAGCAAGCCAAAGCTTCGAGTATTTCAGATTTTTTACATCTTCGAAAAAATTCTCGAACTAATTCGTCTTCGTTTGCGATATTTTGGGAAGTTCTGGGACATCGTCGATATCGTACTTCTGACGGTGAGACAGTCATTTTTATTAAGAACAAAAAATGGAGTGAAAACTGCAATTTCACTTAGATAGGCGCTTTATCGTGGGGCGAGATACCTGACTTCCTAGCAACTCCTACATACTTGCGCATCTACTTCTCGGTTACCGCCCTAATTCACCGAAGCTTCTGACTCTACCTTTTTGTGAAGCCCTCGAGAGGTCCGCTGAGAATCAGGAGCTTCATTCCAACGCAATTCGTCGTTATGTTCCTCTTGCTTCGACATTCGCCCTGGTTCAGAGTGCTGGCAAAACGGCAGTGGAACCGCCACGGCGGAATGGGAGCGGGAAACACTTGGGTTCTTGAAAGACTATTTAGGAGCGGCTGCTGACCCCTCCGATGACGTTACTAACAAATGGTAACAACGAGGCTTTAGCAATCGTACTGACATATCAGGGTTCCAGCGAATAAGCCCCACAAGCAGAAGACATAACCAATGCAACAACAACTGACTGTTTAGGTTATTTAGTGATGGTGTGATCTTTTAGTTATGCAGTTGTGAAGTCTTTTTCAACTATCGTCGCCTCACTATTGCCGCTAATCGTATCAACACATCTTTGAAAAGTGAGTTCACATAGAAAAGGTAGATTTACAGCTGGCTATCATTGTATGGCTCAACAAAGAAGACTGTCACATGATGAGTAGAGATCCAGCATGGGAAAGCACAGAACGATCTGTTCGCATCCCAACGTCCAGCCTACCAACAGGCATGTATCGTTCCAGGTGGATTAACCGTAGCTGCCTTTGATGAAGTTGTCAGCACACAGGAGACCTTCAACAACATAGCCGCTGTGGTTCTGTTCCTGTCGTGGATTAAGGTGCAGGAAGCTATGTGATGACTATTTACGAATTTGAAAACAATTGATTAGAACTTTTAATTGAATTATGTTAAAATTGGTCTTTTTTATCTATTCAACTACATCGGAATAAACAAGACAATGAACCAACTGGCTGAAACGCTTTCCCGTTCTGCGAAGGATATTGGTGGATTCGCTGTGATGTTTGCGGTGTTCTTTTTCGCCTATGCACAATTCGGCTATCTGGTATTCGGCACTCAGGTACCTCTATATAATTCATAAAGTAGTGTTCTATTAAACATTTGCAAAGAAACCCAGAGGGTGTGGTTTAGTGTGCGTGCGGTCGCGTCGCGGCTCAGCAAGATAACTATCAACATTGAGGCTTTTTCAAAAGTGCTTCGGAAAAAAATTGTCCACTGTAAAGCCTTTGAAGGGGGAAAACCTTATGCTTCCCATTAAACTTCGCTGTGGTGAACTCAATAGATGTGATAACTCGACCGCGCGCTCGAGCAGCCCCGTCTGCCAGGTCCAACTGGCTGAACTCTATCTGCAGTTCTTGTCCGAACTTAGCCACTGATTTGCCCACAGAAGTACAACACTCATTCCAGATAGCTGACTATTCGACCTTTCTCGACTCGGTGTTCGCCCTACTGCGTACGGTTCTTGGCGACTTCGACTTCACTGCACTTCAGCAGACGAATCGCGTATTGGGGCCACTATTCTTCGTCACCTACGTGTTCTTCGTTTTCTTCGTGCTCCTGGTAAGCAACCCAGACTTTCATAGGAATCCGAGAATGACCTCTTTTTTTCTCAGAACATGTTCCTTGCAATCATTAACGACTCCTACACAGAAGTGAAAGCTGAATTGGCACGACAGAAGGAAGGATACGGTGTATTTGACTGGATCAGAATGGTTAGTTGGATCTCTGAGAATCGCTTAGACTTGATACGACTGAAAGGATCATCTTCCAGAAACTTACCCGCGGTAAGAAAGAGGACAAGAAGTTCACCACCTACAACGACTACAAAATCGATCTCATGATGTAGGTGGTTCGACAGTTTTTGTGAATCGCTTTTATAACAGATACCGATAAGACCTACATACCACTTTAGGGCTGGCTATAACGAGAAAGATATCACAGACGCACTCGACAAATGCAACGTTGGGCTCGATGATGAAGTGAACGATGAAGTTAGTCATAACAGAGGTTGGTGATTACACAGGATGTTTGATCACATATTCTAGGTACTCGTCGAGCTTGGAAATGAGATTCGAGATCAGGTTCAACGAAAAAAACTAATCGACGAAGAATATCGTTCAACAGCAGTGTAAGTGAAGCCTCGACTTGTGTTCATACTTCACGAAGTTGCAGGTGGCGGCGTGGCTACAGAGGAGGTAGCATTGTGCAACGAAGGCCAGGTTGTTAAAAAGAACCAGTCAATCATCCAATCGACTAGCCGAATTCCAGTCGTTTGTGACCCGTGACCAGGGGGGCGCTCAGCGACAACCAATGTTCATGATTTGAATGAGCAGCGGCTGCATTTCTGTTAAGTATAAACACTGCCTCCATATAACTATATAGAACGATTTATTCGCCAGGATTCTCACAAATCGTTTTCAGTATTTCAGATTGACTCATCGTATTGACATGATGGATAATGCCATATTCAATGTGGTCGAGAAACTTTCAAAAACTATCGAGCAGTTGAACCGCATCGAATACTCCAAAGTGCTTGTGAAAGAACATCAGAATCAGCTGAAAGCAGATGTACGTAAAGAATTGAAACATTAGTGAATCCTCGTCTATTAGTTGTTATCATTTGGAATTCGGTAAGGAACGGTCTGAAACCTTTCCCTATGTGAGATCCTCTTTGATGAAACACTCTGAGCTGGGAGCGCCTCAAAAATATGAACGCTGTGTATATACAGAAGAGGTAGAGCGGTTACGGGGTTTAGTCGATCACAACTCATAGAAATCCTTTGCTAGTTGTCTTGTAACATACCTAAGTTGGTTGCCTTACAGTTATATTGCTGGCAGGCTGCTCTTGATGATCGTGATCCGTCCGTGTTTCTCCCACACTCGACTGAACTTTTTCTCGTACTTAAGAAGCCATTTTTATATTTGCCTCGACAACTTCTGATTTTTGTTTCAGGAGATCCTATTCAATGCTCGTCTTGAGGACGGATTGGCTGAAGATGTAGAAGATAATAAAGAAGACTGATGAAGAATGGGAAAAAATTTGCCTTCCTCCAAATGACGAAACGTACAACTGCTTCTGCTTCGCTCGGTGATCTCGTAGTTGTAAAAATAAAAGCTGCTTCGCAATTAACTCCCTCTTCTGAGCACCTCTTGAAGTGCATAGTTTTTCTAACATACTTGATTGACCAAGCCATAAATAGCGACTAAAGATTGCTGAGAAACGGATGACCAACGGATAGTGAAGGCAAACAGCAATCACAACCCCGCGCATGACAGTCATTTTCTCGATTTTGTTTAATCAGCATCGAATGATTAGGCTGACCGTATACATAGCTGCATCAATCGGCGAGTTCAATGTGCACGTATTTAAGTGGGATCCGGACGTGATTACACAAAAAACATGCTACGTTCCCTACTAATCGTCTCATTACTAGCTATCGCTTCCGCACAGGTGAGATAGTAAAGATTCGTGGGCTTAGAGTGCCTCAAAAAATCACATGATGCGAGTGAATTCACATATTGTTTAGTGGCTATGGTGGGACATTATAGTGCAGTAGCTCGTATAGGCTCAGTGATCCAATTTTTTCACCATGAGGAGGCAGTGTCAGAGCAAGCAACTCACAGAGAAGGATGCTCTTGTGCAATGCCCCCAATTTTTTTGCCCACTTCAAGACAATCCCATTCCAGATATGTAGTCGGGAAGACTGTAGTAATCGAGGTTCATGTATGGGAATGAAAACGGCACCAATTTGCATGTGTGATTTTGGATATTTTGGAACGAGATGTGAACATAGTACGTTTATTTGAATACATTAAATGCTTATAGAGGCAGAGGAGAGGTAGAGCGCCGTGCTGCTCTTCCTGCCGTTACTGATTAGTTAACTAGGTTGAGTAGTGGCACGGTCGAAAAAAGAGGCCAACAACTAGAATGGCTTCAGTGATATGCATTTAGTCACAATTCTTTCATATCAGACCTAGGCAAAGCTATGGAGCCTGGGATGCCAAGGGATTTGTCAAAAAAGACATCCTCCTTTCTGTTTCCTGTCAGAGACAGCGTAATTTCCTGGAGTTTTCAGGTATTTAAGTCGTTTTAGATTTGAACTCAGGCTCCCTGACTTCCTTATGCGACTCAATGACAAGCTGCAGTGGCAACGGACTGTGCATAGGTGAGCTCGATTGTTCCTTCCTGGCATATCTCTCATTTTCCACCAGGGATTCAGATGAAAATAGCTTCCACCAAATGGCTGCTAGTTAAGGTACAAGGGACAGCTTCACTTGTTCATGCTTCCTCGGTTATGAAGGAGAAAATTGCGAACAAAGAACTGGCGGTTTGTCATCCTTTCCTATTTTCCTTCCTCTTTATGTTGTTGCAGTACAAAAGGTGCACACCGTCTTCCTCTGAAATCTACTTTGTCCGAGTTCATTGGAGATCAAATCGATCATTCAGCTTTTATAGCCTGATCCCTTGCAGGGTCCAACTCACTGCTGCCAATGATGGCAGATGCCTGCACACCGGAAGACTGCAGTAACCAAGGTGTCTGTGTGGGTACAAAGGATCTACCTTTCTGTCTGTGCAATCTGGGCAGGATTGGAAAATATTGCGAACAGACCGTCAATTCTCTTTGTAAGACCCCACACTACCAAGTCAATATACGCTCATTATCCTTTTTGTTTTTCAAATTTCAGTAAATGCTGATCCCAACGCACCGATCACACCTTGTTCTCCAAGTGATTGCAACAACAAAGGACTCTGTCTGGGGACGAAGAACTCGTTCGTCTGCGCTTGTCAACTCGGCTATACGGGCAGCCGTTGCGAAAGCAGTAAGTCTGCGTTATTATTAGTACAGGAAAACCTTTATTAAACCCCACATCTCAGCTATTACATTACGCAATACTTTCGACACAACAATGGGCTTACAATTAGCCTGATCGTGATATGATCCCGTGGGTAAGTGCCGCGACGCGACCGCACGCGTCGCAGTAGTCATAATCAAGTCCAAAGTTCTAGCAATTTCTTCTTGAAGACGACCTTCAGGGATTTTCCCAAAATTAGACTTTGTTCAGCTCCATTCGCTCTTTGTGATCCGCGTGACTGTGGGTCCAATGGACTTTGCCTTGGAACCAAAGACAAATTCACGTGCGCTTGTCATCTAGGCTATTCGGGAGAACGCTGTGAAACAAGTAAGTTCAACTGATTTCTTATTTACCCGTGCCTACTAGTTACCAGTCGATGGCTGAAGTGTGCAGCTGTCGAAAAGGAAGGCCTGAAGTTGTTCTATTTTTAAAAAAAAGCAGAAGCGCCTGTCGCGTCAGAGTATTATTGTTTTTTTTTCTTGAGAGGAAATTGTGTCAATTTGTCAAATTTCAGTATCCGGTACCATGTGCGAGGCCTCTGATTGTAATTCGGCTGGTCTTTGTATCGGTACAAAGTCAAAATTCAGCTGCGTGTGTAACCTCGGCTATATAGGAGAACGATGTGAAACTCGTGTCGGTTAGTGGGTTCTTTTTCACTAACCTTTTTATCCTTGCCTTGTTCAGCGTGAGCGTCAGACTTCTACTCTTGTTAAGATCACCCCAGTGCCTCCAGTTCCCAAAACGAGTTTCAGAACTTCCCCCTACCTGACCGTTTTATAATCAAGCATCTAAGGGAGAAGCTGAACGTGAGCAAAGGTGTTAGTAGAAATACATGGCTGAGAATAGAGCCCATTCTGGGTCTTCGGGGAGATCCTCTGAGAGTTGAGGTTTGTAACTTTGGAATAGTGAGCACGAACTGATATGAAAAGCATTGCCCCCGTCGCTTCACGTAGGTTCTAGCCTACAAGACCGATTCAGTTGTTGAGCTTCCCTTTATAACTGCATGAAGGTACCCATCTTTGATAATGATTCCAATGATACTTCAGGGATACTACCAGGTTTCGAAGGTGCTATATGTGAGACAAAGGATTGTAGCGGTAATGGAATTTGTCTCGGTTCAAAGTTGGCACCAATGTGTCTATGCGCTCCAGGTTTCCTCGGTATCAGATGTGAACTTGGTAGGTTCACACAGTTTTCATTTCCAGGACTATTTGACGAACAGTATCCTTTCTGCTAAAGACTATTGGTCAACTTTACTGTAGCCGTTACAAACTCAATTTTCCATTCAGAACCACTTTGCAACCCTCTCCTTCACTGCAGTGGAAACGGTATCTGCTTGGGTACCATCAAGTCGTTCACTTGTCTTTGCAACCTTGGGTGGACGGGCGTTACTTGTGCTCAGTCGACATTAATAGGATAGGAAGGATTCTGTAGTGCATATCCTCGTAATAATTTTTGTTATAATATAATATATAAATTTGATACATGCTTGACGTCGTTTTCTGGAGGTCTGAACACATGGAAGGCATCATTCATAGCTTTACTGTCATCTAATTGAATAGATGGCTTATTTGACAGATGCCAATAAGAAAATAAATAAATAAACAAGTAAATATTCAAAACCGCGGTGAGGTATTGTTTGAATTCGGAAAGAATTTGGGAAACAGTACAATCGATAAGCTGTTACAGGCCTTAGAGACGTATCAATCCACACACCAGGCATAAAGAACATGGAATTGCTGTTCCCATGATCCAGAAGATCAATACCTATCTAATGCTCATAGCAATCCAACGATTCTATGCTCCACGACTTTCCACCTGTGAACGTTATTTTAAATAATACAAATCGAATATAGTCCTTGGATTAAGGAAATGATCGGAGCAGGACCTTAGAGGGAAGTATTTATAAGTGGGATAAATAATGAACCTGAATAAATAAGAGGTCGGGACGGGTGTAGTAGAACAGAACCAAGACAGGTGAGATACTGAAGTCCAGGTATAAAAAGTACCTAAGTTGAGAGAGCTCATTTTAAACAACAAATATTCATGCCATTCGAAGGAGAGTTTAGTCATACGTATCTGTACTGGAATGAGAAAGTTGATGTGAGATATCTGTTGTACGAGATGACTGGAGTTGGATTGAGGTAACTGGTAACGACCTGGTTCAGCATTACTGGACAGCAAATCCTGAAAATCTCCACCACTCAATCTAGAATGTCACTCAATTAAAAGACTAAAGAACTGACGGTAATTATAAATCAAAGGGTGCTGGCTCTGGGTCGGTCTAGGCTAGCCTTGCTCCCCCTCCTCCCCTTTTTTCTCTCTTCCTCCCCTTTTATATGGGAAGACCTCGTGGGTCATTAATGACTATTGTACCTTTTGCTTATTGTCTGCATAATACCTGCACTGGAATTGGTTACTCATAACTTACTTGTTATGGCATTGACTACTCATGGTTCCACTTATAGGTGAGGACCTAGCCAATTGGCTACATCAGAACAAATAGAAATTAAGCCGTCTCACCGAGGATTTGTCATTCGTTTATTTGGCAAAGTCTTGAGTTCGATCGAGTTCACTCGGCATCCAACACCACACTGCACATTCTTCATCGATGTCACACGTACTTGTATCTGTCTATTACCCGGACCCTGAAAATGCCTTGATACCAGGCAAATGCTTATCTATCCTCGGAAATCAGAACAATCAAAACCCACTCTAATCCAGTGGTTACATCTCATGTAATTGTCGCGTTGCGTCTTCACTGCTGCATTACCAAAAGTGAATGTCTTCGTTTTCCATGCAGCTGTAGCTACCAAGATTTCACCGCAGCCGGCAGGCTAAAAGCTTTTTTCTGACTTGATGCTTAGTTAACTGCTGTTATATCGTCGCAGTACGCGATCCGAAAGTCTCACAAGGTTGGCGATTTATGGACAAAACTTCAGGTCTCGGTAGTGTAAGGGATAAGAGCACGGACCCCGGAAAGGACAAGTACGGGTTCGAGTCCCGTCCAAGACTAAAGTTTTGTCCATAAATCGGCAACCTTGTGAGCTATTTTCTGAGTCCCCCGTTTCTTTCCTTGTTGAATGAACATCTTTGCCAAGAGTTCGAACTTTGCAGGAGGACGTGATACAGTGCCAGCGGCCGAAACCATGAATTTGTCGCTTTCCCTGAATCCTCTTCCATGATTAGCAAAAGACGTACCCTCTCATTGCACTTGGCACCACCGTAACCTTCCGGACAGTTGCATACGGCACAATTCTTTGGTCTTGGTTCACCAGCGTTAAAACAGCCATTGGTAGCACATCGAGCTGAAGATTTTGCTTAACGAAGTAGAAGTTTTCTTGAAAGTTGCCTAATTGCCTACAAACCACTCAATTTTTTACAGCTTCCAGCTGAGAGAACAGACTGTCACTAATTTTGAATCGATTTTTGACAACTGAGTTGAGCTTATCAGTTAATCTCAAAGTTCCAGTTTACATTCGAAAGCTGCTCAACCTCATGAAGGACCCTATTCACCAGGAGTTGAGGTTTAGATGATGTGGTTCATGTTCTCTCTCGCCTTTATGTACGAGAACTTGAAATACAGTATTTGTGATATAGAAGACCCAAGATGAGAGAGAATGAAGGGAATGAAAATGATTCCCTTCGTGGAAAACCAAATCTAATCATACCGTGGCATCCGTAGTGGTCATTCAGCATTTTGATGTCAAAGTATGAAATCACACGTGTTCCTTCAGTTTGAAGATATCTTCCCAGGCGTGGCTTCAGGGAGTAACCCTTTGTAGTATACCTATAATGCTAGCGGTCACACAAAGTGGCTATAGAAGCAAGAGCGTGCTCTTTTTGGGCAATGAAAACTTACAAATTAGCCGCATAGTGCATCACGCTGCCAAATTCGTATGGTGTATAGTTGTTGGTGTAGTCTCCAGTAATCTTAGCAAAGTCTCCCCAACGGCTTTGCTGCAATAACCCTTTGTGATAACCTTTGCAGCCTTATGAAACCTGCGTTTAATTTCAGTATGACCTAGAAAGTATGAACTTGCAATAAACAGTAGTAATGTATTAAAGTGGAGCAGAGGTGGACACAGCTGGAAGGCCCCGCTACCGTAGTACGATCCATGGGTGGAGTGCACATGCCACTACACCACCTCCGCCCAATTCAATGAAATATTCAATAAATAAAATGCAATGAAGGGGCTGCAGCCGATATCTGCAGTGGGATCGATGTGGGATTGCCTCAGAATGTAGAGAAGCCATTTAAGTTTATTCCATTCGAGATAACGAATGGATTATCCAGCAAATTTCATGGATATCGATATTAGTCTAGGTACTTACTGGTACATTCGTTAGGTCAACAATGATGTAGTCGTCCCTATCGGTACGCGAATGCATATGCCATGAACCGAGAGCATGAATGAATTCATGTGCAGCGGTACCGATCTGAAATGGACAACCTTTCCCTGCCATAGAAAGGCTACCGAGTAACGAAAGTTACCGAGCACTCACCTGATCGCAGCCTTTTCCCAACGACAATTGCTGTACCCCTCCAACCATTCCGACGGATGACCAACAACCATTTCCACTTACTACCTTTACTCGATTAGCAGCTGTAGAACTTTGGGTAAAAGTAAGGCATGTGCGGGCACTTATATAATCCAGTGCCTGCTTGACAATCTGACGGTATCTGGCACCTAAACTTACAAGCATACTTGAAAAAATAAGGGGAATAGAGAGATTCTTTTCATCAAAATCATAACATCTAAAGAGCTTTGGATAAATTTTTTAAATTAAAGAGCAAATTTTCCCATCCATGCTCCCATCAAATCCAAAAATCTGAAAAATATGAATTGGATCTCAAAAACCAATAAATGATTTCCCTTACTTATGGTTGCACCAAATTCATAGTAGAGACGATTATTTGCCCATCGTGGACTGACGACATCCATCTGACGTTTATGACGAGTCACATTATTATTTCCATTTAGACTTGCCTCAATCATTTCGAGCTGTTTCCTGAAAAATGTCGCCTCACTACGGATATAGAAGTTGGAATATTACTGTATATTACTCAGTAAGGTTGATATCTCCATCGAAGAGGTACTCAGCCATGCCTTCTTTCTCGTTTATCACTTCTAGACTTGGCTCAGGGCTGTTGCTAACATCGGTGGTTACGTCCTTAAAGAAAATTGTTGTTAAGTGTATGAGTATTCTATAATAGATTGGTTTTCATTTTTATCATTGGTACCAGCTTTTGATTAGCCACTAGCTGCGGCGGGCGAGGGTAAAAATTTAAAAATGAATTTTTAAAAGATTGGCCAGAAAAGGCTAAGCTCAACTTTTTTTGGGCTTTTACTGACGACACCTGCACGATTCACTCTTGGAAGCTTACAATCGAACTTAACGAAAAAAATTCCCAAAACTTGATGTTAGACATAAAGAATTGGACCGTTCTGCTATTTTTCAACCATAAAGGATTTTGTAGAAATAAATTTCCAAGAAGAATTCACGAGCACTGCAACTCACCTCTGTTTCCAGTCCGCTTGTTCCCTCCGTTGCATTTCCAAAATCTCCTTCCGCCAGTGTTTGTTTGACCATTGTCATATTATACTTTTGAGAGTAGAGCCTGCCGAGATTCTTCAATCTCTCCCGACGTTTCTCTAGATCGACACCGGGAAGTGCCTAAACTCCAAAAACGTATTTTAGGAAAGAAAGCTTGTATGATAGGTGCATATATCGATCAAAAGCCTTTCAAAATGTAATAACTAAGCCCAGTACAAGCCTGAAGTAGCGGGAAACCCTCGCCCCTTGGAACAATTAGAAGCTGTTGTCCATTGCTTTCCGCAGACTTACCTCACTGAGAGATTCGTTTCCCTCAGCCGATAAGCCCTGGGCAATATCAAGGCTAGCCATGAATGTAGTGGCACTGAGCAAGATTTTCAACACATGGACTTTGAGCATCTCTGAAAAGGGTTTCTTCATTATTCTACATACAAATTAGCCTTTGGACGACCTTATTGAAAAGTTTTTTTCAGCCTACAAAATTTTCAATGATTCGATGGAGATAAGCGGAAAGTGATGGCTCAGTTGGCCTTGGCCGGTATCAATCCTGGATTCTTTCTCGGATCATAGCTGATAATAGTGCACTACTTGGAACTACACACACCACCAGTGGTGAAAGGAGAGTTCAAAACCGTCGGCCTACGGACTCAAACATGAATTACTCTTGTTTTGGTTCACAACCACGAATTGAAATGATGTAACGATTAATAGGTACGTCTTCAGGAACTTTTAAAAAAACTGTCGGAACTAGTCGCATCACAAATAGGCTCCACAGAGGTGCCTATTTTTGATGCTACTACAAAACAGGTTACGACAGTTGCCCCAGTCCAGGCTAAGTCATTAGGATATTCTGTTCAAAATCACAGTGATGTATATAATTCTATTTCGAAGATTATGGCTGCCATTCAGTGCAGAGGTCGGTGCATTTGCTCTTTCAGATGAGTCCAAGACTATTCTGAAGACTAGGACGTGAAGTGAGACTCTTGGCATCCCATCCTCGACCCAAAGATCAGGACCTATATTTTGAAATTTCGTAAGAAAAATTCACAGCAGTAGGCAAGAATTGGTAAAAAACCACAACTAATCCAAAGGACCGATTGTTCAGCAGCTTTATATGGCGAACGGTTGATCATTGTTCAATCCGTGGGACTGTCATCGGTACCCTCTCTTGTTAATATGGTGTCTATCAGTGGGTGATGTTCGAAGCCGATTTAACACAACGTGATTTGTATGGAACGCGTTCATCGACTTAATGTTTTGTCCCCGTTGGAGGGCAGATTAAAATACTCAATTGTGATTTTTGCGATACGTTCCATGAGAACCCTTTCAATTTCGGAAAATGATGCATGTTCAAAATCTTGAAAGCATATTGTACGGAACTAGGTGCGCGGCACGTCTACAAACGCTTGGCCCTCATAGAAAAGCTAAATATCCCCATTTTCGCATACTGATTGGTGAAAATTCAGCTCTCCGATCGGCTTCGTTGGCTCCTGGGCCAAACATGACGAATAGCTAGGCAAGCTTCATGAAAGTTCAATTCCTCAGGTTTGAAATGCAGATAACGTAAAAAATTTGGCTCAAGACTTTTGACGATGATCAAACCCTTTTTGGGATGCGCTCCACATTCGACTTCCATCCAGAATTGTAGTGACATTTTAGTGCGCAAGTGACACATAAATAAAAAAATCTTCCGTCCGTCAACTGATACTCAAAGCTGTGCTTTTATCCTCCCAGACTAGGCTAGTACCAGTTGACCGACTCCGGAAGGCTGGATGACTAGGTTGCTATGTTAGTGATCGTTACGAAATTAGGCGAAGCGATTGAAATGATTGAATCCAACGAAAACATTAGGGCAAATAATCTCTTGACACCTGTATCAGTGTCGGGACGGTAGCTTACCCCACGGCCCATCGGAACCCATAGCTGGCTTACTGTTTTGATTGGCTTTAAAGTGTTCCAAACTTACATTTGATGGAAATAGTAGCTGTATCTACGATACAATACGACACCAACGAACAGCTTGTGGATTAGTAAAAGTTCGCTGGATCAGACTGGGAACAACTCTCAACCATCAGGTTACCTCAAAACCCCATCCCTAAACATTGATGCCTTATTTTGCAGTTAAAAATTAGAAAACTGTTGAATGAAGCCAAAAAATTTAATGTTAAATTGCTCCCATAAGAGTTTCAGGTCAGTCAAGCTCCGCTCTAGGGTGGTTGTGACCTCTCCGATAATCAATCGCCGCTGATTTTTCGACGTGGGCGCTCCTTCTTTCTTCCTTCTGCATCATCTTTCAATTGTTCTTTTATTTTTAGATTTCCTGCTGTTCTCATATTAGGAAAATGTTGTTGAATAATATTAATCACATGTGATACCAAGCAGAATTGTCACTTCTTCTTCGATTACCTTCAGGAACTCGATTTTTGTTGTTTTACTCTGAATGTTTTACTAAAGAAAAAAGCTTCTGACGAAATTTTTTATTGTTTCAGCATATCCCTGAGAGGCTCTCGAAGAAAGAAGTAAAGTGGATCCACCAACTCATGAAAGAGCACCTTCGAGGTAAACTGTATAGCGAAATTTTGCAAAGTTGTACAATTGTTTGTCAGATGTTTGGGAAAGGAAGTAGGCAGTTAGCATCCTTCAGATAAGAGACATAGTTTGGGTTAGGAGCATATGGTCCAACTAGTGATGGGTAAATGTCACTTGGCATTTGTCTCCACGTCTGCGGGTGTCTGTGTCTGTGCCCATATTTATGAAACATGCTTGTGTATGTACTTGTGTATATGTACGCCTGAAAGTGCCTGTTTTCCTGTGCGTGTGCTGTATGCAGTACCTGTTTCCGCACATTCTGTGAATTTCTACAAGTCTGAGAGATATTCTACGATTTTTTTATGAACCCTTATGAGTATGGTTTGTGTCTCTGTGTATGTGGCCGTGTGTATCAACATCCTTTAGACCCGTGTGCGTCTGAGTGTGTGTTGGTGGATGAGATTGTGTGGGTGTGCATGTGTCTAATTTTGCGAGGTGTATGTGTGTCCACGTTTGAGAGTGCATATATATGTATGCGAGTATGTGTGTGTGTTAGCTGTTCCTGTTCCTCTTGCGTACCTTCAGACTTCGGAGTTGATGTAGAATCAACCAGTCGCTGACAAAAGCTGAGCAGAAAGGTATAGTAAAAGTGCAGGTTGGCAATCATGCGTCATTTCAGCAACGACAGGCATAACGTTTTTTCAGCAAAGTTCTGAACTCAGCTCTCCTTTTAAAGTAGCTCTCCTTCTGAAGCAGCTCTCATATGAAGCTCTTTACCCCATCTGTTAATTCCTCTTCGTCGGACAACCTTCCCAGTGCTGTCGTTCTCCATGGGTAGTAGTTACTTCATCACGCAGCAGCACTTCATCACAAGAATACTACCAGTTTATGCTTAGGATGCTACAATGAACAAAACCTGCTTATGCGAACAAAGTTAAGATTTCAACTTCCTCTTTTTGAGTAAAATATTTGGCAGTTCCTTTCAACTAGTCTATTCAGGGCCTGGAACAGATGCAATGATTCGTGGTTTTGCGGTCGATCGACAAGCAAGGACGACAAAACGGCAGATCGCCATCCTCTACACTCATGTTTGCAACCTTCTGATGACTTCAACGCCCGCAGTTCTGGTAAGTTCCAACTTCAACTTAATGCTTGTTACGGCAATCAACCTGTCTGGAAACACAATTGTGTGTATCAAGTTGAATGAACAGCCCAGAGGGAGAAAGGTGTAGATGATAAAGAATGGTATGGTAGCGACCTAACATCACCCTAACTCAGCTCAATCAGCATTTTACTGTTCTTGTGAAGAGAGATAAAATAATTTTGCCACTTAGATGAAGCAGTATTGATGTCATGGACCACTCTAACACCTTACTAATAAAGCTGTGAGCTGATAATTCTCTTAACCCAACTTTACTCGATATTGATTCAGAACTCTCCTTATGTATGTAGTCGTCCTCACAAGTTTCCTTTTGTCCGCAAAAAAATTCTCTGAAGGAAGTAGCTTTGAGAAGCCAAAAAGCCTAGTGGATGAGGAAAGTCAAGACCACAGTTAAAACATGACTTATATGATATAACTTTCGCTTGCGCTCAAGGTAGCATGCAGCGAAAGTTACTGCTGTTCCTGGCGGCAGTCACCATATACGGGTTTTCAAATATGAGCTAACCCCACTGCCAGGAAGGTAGGGGCTTAGGAACTAGGAACAGGTGTTTTACATTCAATTACATCTCGGGGATATAACATGCTCTGAGGGAAAATCCCAGTCCGGTGATCCAACTTCCCACCAAAAGACCGTTGTTATCAGTTTCAGTTTAGCCATTCAGAATGGGAATAAGTAAGATGCTCAGTCGTTTTCCGAAACCATAGGACAACTTTCATAGCTGAGCTTCCTATCAGGAATTATCCAAATTTTTTCCTAATCAACAGTTGTAATTATGCAGAATCAACACAGTAAGCCACATCCTACGAACAAAAAAACTATTCTTTTGAACGCTATAGCCAGTCCTGCATCGGTCAGCTGCAGAGATCCGACCGCAGAGGATCCATCTGCTACCAGAAAAACAATGATAAATTAGTTTCCTTTTCCCTGTCTACCATATTTCGTCGCTATACAATGCTAGCAGTGCTAGGATGCGTATTTATTTTATATTCGATTTTCTTCAATTATCTCAGTACAGATTAAAATGCTTCAAATTATTTATTATTGGACTTTTCTGTTCTGAAGACACCAAATCCTGAGTTGAAGTACATGTACGATCATACCACGATTCTAAAGTCATACACTTGCAGAATATGCTCAACTAAGTAACATCATGATGCGCGATATGGCACACTGCGTCAGTCTAGCCTATTTTTAATAGTCAAATAACTAGGATAAACAAAATTCACTGAATTTAAACATATCTATACTGATATGTGAATGTGGAAGCGTAGTAGATACTGTAGGCGACGACTGGTGTTGGGCGGATTTCGCTAACACGGATTTGGTTCAGTTGTCCAGGACAGCAAATCCTGTAATGTAAGTCATGAAAGGCCTGGGAATGAATTAAGCAACCGAAAAAATTGGTAGCGAAGCTCTTTTGATTTATAATGCGCTGGAGCTGTGTGTGCTCCAGCCATAAAGGTTGATCGCACCGATTCCAACAAAAGAAAACCCCATCTGGGATCTGAGGCCAAGCCCAACTCAAAACAGTCATATGAGCACGAGTTTACTAACTAGATTTACCTAGATATACCATCAATTAGGAACCCTATTTTGAAACTCCTGAGGTCTGGTTATGACAGCAAGTCCTATCAATTCCTTCTTTACTTTCGCAAAAAACTTCATTGTCCCTGTTGCACTCTTTTCGTGAAGAGATGCAATATGCGT